AGCTCAATAAAAAAATTTAAAAAACATTGGAGAAAAGACAACATATTCAACAAATGATTCTGTCAAAGCAGATTGTAAAGAACGAAACAACATCCTTAGCTTGCATTCTGCACAAAATTCAACCCTAAACCTATCAAGAACCTCATAAGACCTGATACCCTGAATCTGATACAGGAGAAAGTAGGGAACATAACTGACTTTATAGGCACAGGAACGGACTTTCTGAACAGGACCCCAATAGCACAGTCATTAAGATAAACAGTTGATGAATGGGACATTATGAGATTAAGAAGGCTTTACACAGAACACTCATTTGAGTGAAGATGCAGCATAGAGAATGGAAAAAAAAAACCTCTGCCACATGATCCAGCTAGACTACTCTTAGGCATATACCCAGAGGACTCTGTCCTACCACAGAGAAACATGCTCATTCATGTCCACTGCTCCTGTATCCTTACTACTCAGGACACAGAAACAGCTTAGATGTCAACCAACTGATGAATGGATAGTTAAAATGTGGTTCATATATTCTATTAAAAGCTTTGGAACTGAAAGTTGTTTAATTTCTGTGGACCCCATGGTTTCATTTGACAATTAAAATTATTATAAGATGGTAGCTGGGCAGGACCTGTCACAAGAACAAGGCCAGCCTGGGTTACCTAGTGAGTTCAAAGTCATCTTGGGCTTCCCTTCTCAAAAGAATAATAAGTTTGATAACATGCTAATAAATGAGAGATGCTTAAAACCTTGCCTGAAATTTTAAAATGCTGAGAAAAGGTTAGTCTTCACTATTGTGAATAAATCACTGGAATTAGAAGAATGCTTTGGCTGCATTCACTTGTGTATTTAGTTTACTTTGTGATGATGTGATGCTCAGACTTCCCTGTTGCACCCCAGGGAGTGCCAGGACTGCTGGCAGTGCACCCATCTTCCACACAAGCCATTTCAGCATGGCCTCCTCACATCATCTTCAGGCCATTCTCTGGGGAGCCAGCTCCCCATGCTGCCCTATGAAAAGGTGCCTGCTTTCTTTTCCTGAAACCACACACCAAGGACTTCCAGGAGACTAGATGTCTCCCCCTTCTTCATGCTGCCTCCTAACAATCTATTGCCCTATCCTTCCCAAACTCCAGCTGATCTAAAGGGAATGTTGGAACTGAGGCATCTTCCGTCATCTTCCATTCTCTAACTATAGAGGTAACACCAAATCAGATGGCTTAATAGCATAAGGAAGGGCTCAACATCCCCTCAGTGAGAATGTCCCTTGCATTGCTGAGCCTAGAGGATTAAGTGTGCAAATTACTTGTGAAAGTGTCCAATGTGCAGTAAATCAGGTGTGGTCTGATGTGATGGGAAATGAGGACATGGGGAAGGACTGGGTCCTTGGTGATGCATGGTTTGATTCATGCCGCAGCAAACGCAGTCCTGTGCTGTAGTAGTGAGCGTTCATGGCATACACATCTCACCTCCAGGTTGAATGTCATGTCCTGAGGCAGTTGGCTTTTTCTGAGTGGGACAGAGTCATCTGTTCTGAACTGAAGACAGCATGAAACCCTCTGGGAAAAAAGATTTCAAATGTACAATTGTAGAATATAAAACCTTGAAAGCTATGGAACTATTAAGGCAGACAGTTTATGTGGAAATAGTCAACTCAGGAAAAGATTGGAAATAGATAAAATTGTGCATATATAAATAATTCAGTGGAAATAGTAAAATAAGATAGGGAAATATTTTTTAATTAAGGGGTTGTGACAAAACAAGGTTTACATTCCAAAAT